TCATATCAGTTATTTTTTTTAATATTTCTTATACTTTTTAGTTAATTTGTCTGTTCCTTCAAGAATAAACGAATACATTTTCGGTGGTCGGTTCAGCAGGAGGTGGGCAAGGTCTTAAAGATCGTCACCACTACTGGGGCAGAAGGGATTAGACCACACAGAGAGCCATATAGGTCACTATGACAGGTGGCAATCTCACTAACTCAGCTCTCATTTAACATAAGAAAAAGAGGATCATGGGGGACCAACAGGCACCGATTAGGGAAGTTTTCTATATAGAGGGAGCAAGTAGCTACAAGTATGGCAGTGTGCCTTTAATCCAAAATGTAAAAATTTATCTAAACTAGAGGGTGTGTTTGCAGTTTCTGCTTGAAAAGTTATTATTATCATTATCATCATCATCATTAATTTCATTAATATTGTTATTATTATTATTATTATTTGTTTCATTTCGAAAGACAGAATCAAAGTAAATTTTAAAGACATATCACAATATAATTGTTATTGAAGTTACCAAAAAAAAACTGGTAAAAGTTGTTGCACAAACTAGAATAGTTTATACAGCTTTTATCTTCATAGAATCTGATAATTCATCGTGAAAGATGTCTTTAGGGTGTTCCCTAAAGACATCTTTCATGATGAATTATCAGATTCTATGTGCCGATAACACATCAGAATTATGATGCTTTTCAGTAATGTATTTCAATTATTGTGAATGTAATTTTAAGCGTTGATCGTTTAATTATTAATTGCTGATAATGTATATAATATGTTTTTATATATATATCATGACTGTATATCATATGCGGTATTATGTGAAACATAGTTCACATTATTACATTATACTTAGACCATTGTGTGCTTCGTAGAGTTACATTTGATTCTTTAAAATGATATTGCTAACCACTTCCAAAGTCTTAATTATAATGATTTGGATCATTTTGGAGTACGCATTTAATCCATAATTCGATTTAGGATCACAGACGGATGCCTACATGTTTTTATATATTGTCATTGACGTGATCTTCAACAAAAATATGAAATGCCGGATACCCATTTACAGCGAACTCTAAATGAACATGTTTTTAATGAAGATAAATTACAGAAATGCCATAATAGCCCGGCAGCCCAGTTAAGTGCACTTTGATCAAACAAACGATGTTCCAATGTCTGAGTATTGGAACATTCGGGGGGGGGGGGCTAGTTTATCCAAATATGGATGATACCTTGCCCCCCCCCCCCCTGCTGTATGATGACCCTGGGATTGGTTAATAGGGCCCAAAATACATTTAGTTACACGAATGGTCACAGACAAATTCTCCGGTGCTTAGGGCCCGCCAGAGGCAACAAATGTGGCCTAAAGGCCCTTTATTGTAGCATTGGCCCAAGTAAAATATTCGCTCGTTTGTTCTAGCTCAATTGCAGGCCTTGGCCCCAGGGGCCATATGCAGCAAAAAGGGCCTAGACAGACGTCCATTTTGGGATATATTAATAGCTTCCTCCCCGAAATTTCCAATACTCAGATATATTCAAACCTCGTTCATTTTGATCCGTGCACTGTGCTACCGGGCTATGAGGCAAACGAAAGAATACACAATTTGTAAAACAGTTGATGAAACACTTGATGTAGAATATTAGAAGGTTTTAAAAATAATGCTTTATGAATCGTACGTATTGTGTATACGTAAGACTTTCTACATGACTGTGTATCATGAAAGTCTTACGATATTATTTTTTATTTTTATTGTTTTGTATTACTGTTTACATACTCGTTGCATCTTAATCTTGCATATACATTATTTAAAAAGAATCAAACCTTTTTATTCATATGATTGTGATCAGACGATGAAAGTGTATACTTTGCTAACCGTTCCTATTTTCACGAAGTGACGGTAGTGAGGCAAATCCGCACGCAAATTGTATGCGATTTTCATTCACTACCGTCACTTCGTGGAAATAGGGATGGTTCGATTCAATAAAATAATTTATATACAAAAGAAAATATTAAATAATCTATTTACTCATCTGCCACATGAGTTTTTTACGTGCACCCTCTATATGACGTTTTTAACGACCAGGAAGAGAGATAGTCTCCATTCCTCTCACTATTAACATTTAATAGGGATCTGCAGGCAAAAATCATGGGGTTGCCAATTAGTGTTTGATCAAGCCTCACCTTTTAACAATGTGTTACTGTCACTGAAAATATTCATAGAATTTTCCTTTATTAAAAAAAGTTAGTATTGGGATGGACATGCACTGTTTAACATGACTGTATACGATTATTGATCCTTTGTATAAATTTGGTCTCGGTAATGAAATGGCAAAAGAAATTAGTGTAAGTTTGAGAACACGATCGTACAGTCTTTCGAGAAATCAACTCAAGGGCAATTTCAATAGCCTGCTTGGTACATGTATATCCTGTAGAAATCCAGTTCAGATTGCGTGATACGTATTGATTTAATTCTAATTTTCGCACATTTAAATAGGTGACGAACGAGATTCATGATGGCAATGGGTTGATAGTTTCGAAAGTGTTTGCGATCGTGTTTGAGAAAAATACAACGAGGGGTGCTCTTTTGGGGGGTAAATACTCGAGGGGAAATCTCTAAGCGCACTTGCCCTTGGTGTTGATGTCAGCCAGGGGTGATAAGCGAGTTCGTAAATAGCTCTGGACCGCTTGACCCCAACATATCCACTGATCTTAGACACGATGGATACTTCCCACCTGTGCATTTTAGAATAATCACTGTCAAAGTGATGGAGGTGCTTTATGAATACCTTTTGTTTGCCTCTTGAGAAGAATACTTCCACTTGTGTATCAGATAAAATACTGTTGTTGCATAAATGAATACTGATTACATAACTTTAATGAGCACGGTCCGAGTATTCGTCTCAATGGTTTTACAATTTGGGTACGAATGACCTTTATCTGCCCATGCGCAAATCCTAATTACGAACTCGCTTATTGTCGCAGGGGGGGGGGGGGGAGGGGTAACTGTATGGGGTGTTATTTGTTAGGCACTGAGAAGTTTTCTCCTTTGCTTCTTTAAAGCTTATCTGCCGTATAGTTTACAGGAGGGATTAGACCGCTCTGCAAGGTCACTAGACAGGTGGTTATCTCATCAACTCAGCTCTCAGTTAACATAAGAAAAAGAGGATCATGGGGGACCAATGGTCACCGATTAGGCATTGTTTGTTATATAGAGGGCGCAAGTAGCTACCAGTAGTGCAGTGGGCCTTTAAGAGTAAAAGCTCGGAGTTGTTCAATAATATTAATCCTGACACATTGCTGTATTGAATAAATTTAGATAATAATGTTTGTCAATACACCTTGTTTATTCTGTCATTCTTAATGTACATTGCGTTTACATTCAATACAATAATTAGTAATCAAACGAAGTCCAATAAAGCTTTCCTCCAGTGAATCATTCTTCAATCAATATTATTATACTAATACAACACACGATTTTACTCCTATCAGAAGAAACACAAAATATGACAAATGTATTGGTCTTTGAGGTGTTTAACAGATCACATAGGAGAGAGAATCGTTCGGTAAGATATTTCGAGGAGAAGGAAAAAAGTCCGTAAACAACTTTATTTACAACAGAACAGTGATTAAAGGGGGTATTGGACTCATTCTGGGCATTAACAAAAGAAAATCATAATCATTATAATCCCCGTATATTACAAACGGCAATCGAGTCAAGGCCCTCTCAAGCAGGCACATAGTCACGGGGGGATCGTGCCCCCAACAAATTTCCAAGATCGGTTGAACTTTTTTAGAACTTTTTTTTTTCCTCGATCGATTACATGTATGTGCCCCCCTCCCCGCCCCCCCCCCCCCCCAAACATCAAACTCTGGCTACGTGCCTGCTCTCAAGATCTGTTGGCGTCATGATCACTGAGGTGCATCTATGGGCATGGCAATCGTGAGAGGGACGGGGCGGGGATTTTTTTTTTAAAAGTAAAAATATGTACACAAATTTGCCATATGTCAAATGATAACAAAAAGAAAGAAAAAAAGCTTGCACGTCGCCATTGGTGATGATGTAAATGATATAATCTTTTGTTATCGAGGAAATTATTTACCCCCACCCAATATGAAGATTGGGCCAAGCCAGCGCACGGTGGGCCAGGGAGGAACCAAAGTGCGCCAAAACTCATTTCTGGGGATTTATTTTTTATAAATCCAGAGGAAATGTTTGGATTTCCAGGGATTTCCGCTTAAATGTTATTACCAACATTTTCTCTGATATCTAAGCTTTAAGTTGATACCAGAATTGGCTGCCCGATTGTGCCCGTTATTATGTTAGAGCCGTTTTCCCTGCAACATTGCCCCGAAAAATGTGTTTATTTTGGTCCGCGGTGTCTAAACAAGACAGTCACGCGCCCCCAAACGCCGTGATTTATGACCGCGAATCCTTCATGATTCAGCCACGGACCCCCAAAACACCGTGACATTTTTCGGGGCAATGGGGCAAGGGAAATTGGCTATAGGCAAGATCGGGCAACTTAAAGCTTAGACATCAGACAAAATGGTGGTATTAAAATTAAAGCGGAACTCTGCGGAGATCTAAAGATTTCCTCTGGATTTATAAAAAACATGGATAATCATTTTAGTCCATTTTTCAGTGAATTACTTTATGATATATCATGAAGATTGTGTTTCTATTAATTTTAACCCATTCATGCAACGAAATGAACTATCAGGAATATATGTGAGAGCAATTTCATATCAATAACTTAAGAACTTCATGTTAAGTTGAAAGATTTATAAAATAAGTCACTTTTGCACTAAAACTGTAAATATGTAGGATTATTAAATAATATTTTACTGAGGTATTCCTCAATGTATTACCTTTCAACTGGGCAAGAAAAAAATTGAAAAAAATAAATCACCAAAATGAGTTTTGGCGCACTTTTGTTTTTCCCTGGCCCACTAAGTACTGTGCATGCAGCGCCGCCCCCGGATCCAAATCGTTGATGATCGACCTATGACCTATCTCTGCTCTGTTGTTGCCGAGAGACGATACGCTGTCTTCTGTTTACGTCTGTACATGGAGTGGTAATGTACGCGAATATCTCTTTGCTTTTATTTGTTGCTATTTTTTTATATCATAACAAACTGCTTAAGACGTTATTATACATGTACGGATTCTAAAAATTGTCCCTTATATAGCCAAGTTTGCTAAAGTACTTTTGCCTGTTGTCCAGAAACTTTCGTGTAGTCCCACTCGCTTATAATCGTGTACAGTGGGGAGCCAGGTCAATGACGCATTTATAATGCACTGACTTTGCTTTGCTGGAGTGGTCGATGATAATTGACTTGGTACTGAACAAGGAATGTCCTTTATAATCCTCTCATGCTTAATTTCATATTATCCCCTTGGCCTTAATTATAATTTGAAGATAAATTTTTTGAATGAAGAACAATTTTCATGAGAAAAATCTCATTGATGATTGAATTTAAAAATTAAAGCAAAAGGGGTCTAGATCTAGACCTAGATCTAGGGTCTATAAACAAAGACATAATGATTAATGTCATCTAAAAATAAGATTAAGACTAATGAGTAGTGTCACTAAATGAAGTTGAGACAGAAAAGCCAAAACTTCAGAAGCAAGAAATGAAATTGAAGAACAATTTAGTATCACGAGAAAAGGCAGCAAACGTTGCTGAAAGTGAACAACAATTTTGTTGTAAATTTCTATCGCCATAAAAACCATTAAAAAATGGTGATAAAAAGTTGGTGTTTGATTCAAGTTTTGTGACAAAAAATCTTATAGTAAAGTTCAAAGACAATGGCACTGCATAGTCGTAGACATTGTAACTCAGCTCAGCCCAGAGGGCAACGTCAAAAGAGTTGCTGCCTGATTGTTAACAAAATAGTGAAATCCATGAACAGTAGTCTTATTATATCTAAGTAGAATCAGATTTACTCTCAATGCTGAATAGTTTCTTTCAAGCCTCAAGGGCTCTTTTACTCTCTCAGATCCTCCTGTTGCAAAGGAATTAATAGTGAGGCTGATCGAGGGGCGGGGTGGGAAATGTTGAAGATGAAATTGAAGTTGGGTTTTTTATCAGGGGCAAAGCAGGAGATGATGATCATTTGCACCTTCTTCCTCTCATAAAAAAAATCATTCTTGAAGTTTAGTTGGCTTTGATGATAAAGAATATATAACCACACTCTTCTTGTTTACACTTACATGTACATGTATGTCTGAGTGGAGTAACATACATTTTGTGCATACTTGCCCTGCTAAGTGGTTCTAGGACAATTACCCCCCCCCCCCCCCCCCCCTCCTGAAAATAATCCCCTGTGGACAATATCCCCCAGAAAATTAACCCCTATGACAATTATCCCCCCCGGGGACAAATCCCCACTACCCTAAAAAAAAAAAAAATCCTTTTATTAGAACCAACTTATTATCAGGGTGGACTTCCTCTTTAATAAATGGGGGAGGGGGGGGGGTAATTTTCAGAGGGGTGATTGTCCGGGGGGGGGGGGGGGTGAGATCGTCCTGATACGATGCTAAAAATGTGTCAATGTCTTGATAAAATCTGTAATAAACATTGAGCAAGGTGAGGTATGTTGATCTCTTCTAACAGGAAATATTCTAGACTTTAAAGTCATAGATTTGTAAAAATTAGTATGATTCAGTGTTTTACATAAAATAGTATTCCCAGATCTTCAATCATTTTTTTCTGTCTATTTTTCTTTTTTCTTAGAAATCTCTTGAAATGGTGTAGACTGAGCAGGAAACATCAGCCATGGATTTGGAAACAATTGAGGAGATAGATGATGCAGCTCTCTCAGAGTTCGGTAAGGAGACTGAGGAAAAAGAAAAACTTGAAAACGAGTCTGAAGACCAGAATACAGAAGAGCCTGATGGAGATGATGAAAAGAAAGATGAAGACCCTTCAGGGAAAAGAGAGGATGAGAATGCAAATGAAATCATTTTGACTTCAGGCGAAGAACCTCAGCCTGTAAATGCAGTTGTGGATTCAGATATGCAGACATGTGGTCCGGATGACATACCTGAAGTTAGTCAAGAAATCCCCCAAGAAGACAATGTTGAACCAGTGCCAGTAGATGTTAGTACTTTGGTATACAGGGATACTCACGGCAGGTTTTGCCTAGATTTATCAGAAGAGGACATCAGTGTAATACCTCCAGATACCTTTGAACTGGACTTCTTGAATTACTTATCAGTGACTTGTTTACCTCTTTATGAGATCCCATCTGGTCTTAGCTACCTTCAACAGCTAGATTCATTGACATTGAGGGAGTGCTCGCTAACAGAGTTCCCCGGGAGTATCTGTGCATTGCCGCTGTTGGAACATTTAGACTTGAGTGGAAATGAAATCCAAGAGATTCCGACAGAGATAAGAATGCTGTCCTCGTTGCAGCAAATTGACCTATCCGACAATCAACTAACTGCCCTACCAAATGAATTCTGCCACCTGCGGAAACTCATCTGCGTCTTTCTCTCCCAAAACAAACTGACCAGTCTGCCAGCCAACATCTCACATCTCCGCAACATCCAAGTCTTGGAGATGAACAACAACATGTTGAAGTGGTTGCCAAAACAAGTCTGCCTCTTGGATCAGCTCGTAAAGCTCAGTCTCTGTGGGAACTACCTTCAGACATTGCCAGCAGACATCGAGTACCTCTTTAACCTGCAGGAGTTGCATCTTGAACAGAACAGCTTCTTCTACCTCCCCATCCAAATATATTGGCTCCCAGAATTAGAGGAACTGTACCTCAGTCAGAATCACATCCAGGAGATATCCTCAGAGATTCAGAAGCTCACTAAGCTTAGGGTTCTAGATCTTGGTACCAATGAGCTCAACACCGTTCCGCAAGAGATTTGTCTTCTTTTAAATCTGGTATTTCTTGGTCTTGGCTCAAACAGGCTAACATCCCTCCCAGACAACATGAACAGACTTTACAAGTTGGTAGAATTCTTAGTAGGTATGTGATGTTATCTGATTTATCTTTATTTTCTTTTAGTTGCAATGCTGTTATTACAAACTATATTAAGGACACTAGGTCTTTCTTCATCAGCCCAAGTTGGCCAAATAGCCCACTATTTTGTCTAATACTGTATCATATTTTTATTAAGACAGGAAAGTGTATCAAACGTTAAATTCTTACCAATTACTTGGTATCTAAGTGAGCTGCTGCTCTGGTACAACTCATTTTTCTATCAATACTATGATGTTGCTATTCCAAATAAATAGGAAATGTTCTGCTTATATAATATCTTGTTTTCTGATCAAATTAATGTAACATAAATGTGGATAATATAAGATACAATATTTTGATACATACACCCGTACTTGTCAGCATAATTTTGTTTTATTGATCATGATCTACATGTATGTATTCTTTTTACATTCATTTCTTCAGGAAACAATGAGCTGACTGAAATCCCTGATGACCTATCGCTCCTGTCACAGCTTCAAGTTCTGGATCTGTCCAACAACCATATGTCAGAACTACCTGTTGAGATTGCTAGTCTAAAGCAGGTATGAAACCAAATCTTAATTTATAGCCAAGTGTAAAGGGATGCATAATCATTATTGTCTTCTTTTTCTTTTTTTTTTCTTTTTTTTTTTTTTGGGGGGGGGGGTATGTATGTTTGGTTGTTTTTCTTTTTGCATTCTATCTCTTCTTGCAAGATCTGCACCGCCATTACATAAACAAATCCCCGGGTTGGCCTCTTGGACGCGATTTCAAGCCACTTACGGTATTTACATACTTCTGGTGCGCAGACCTGAGTGTTATACATACAAGTATTTGTAATATATTGGCGATAGCAAGAATTAGCTTATTATGATATTGTGCACATGCATGCACACTCATGGGGAGTTGAATTGAGATCACATTGTAATGATTCACATGTAGAATATATCACCAATGAAATAATAACAACGATATGATAACAATCAGTATCAAACTTACATATGTACTGCACATACACATAGTACACTTCTAGGTACCATGTGCATTTAAAAAAAAAACTTTAATAGGCATATATGTCCTTGAAAGTCAATAGAAAAACCAGGACATCAATTCTATTTTACTCATTTTATTTCCTTTTTTCTATGAGCAGGTGAATGTGCTGTCACTACAGGGCAACCAGATCTCTACATTTCCACCTGGTGCTTGCCTTCTCAGTAAATGTGAAGAGTTGTCCTTTGATAGGAACCTTCTCAGTAGACTACCCAGTGAGGTGAAGCATATGAAATCTCTTCAGAGTGTAACCATAACCAACAACAGGTGAGAAAGCTAAGGGTTTAATCTGGAAACCAGTTTGTTTAGTATGTAGATGTTTGAGAAAATGTTTAACAAAATTTTTGACAAATTGTTATAAATCAATGAATCAATTTATATTTTCATTAGACGTGTAAGAGCAGTAAAATGCTAAGGTTGGTATGTCATGAATTTCAACTGCTTGCAAAAGATGGGTCATACTGATTTTTTATTTTTTGTAATTCATATTCAGACTCACGCAATTCCCAAAGGAGCTATGTGAAGTGAGGACTCTTCAATTCTTAGATCTGAGTCAGAACCTCATCAGCTCAGTACCTGCTTCAGTGCGACGTCTACAGAACCTTGAGAAGTTCATTCTTAACGAGAATACATTCACAGCCATCACTCCAGAGATGTGTACGCTCAAGAACCTGGTCTCCCTCAGCATGTCAGATAATCAGATAACAGAGATCTGTGAAGAGGTCAGCATGTACCAACGGTTAGAAGCCCTGGATCTCTCAAACAACCAGTTCCCGGTCTTTCCTCCAGAGATCTGGACCATCTCGCGGCTCAGGATCCTTCACTTCATCCAGGAGAAGGGTTTGAAGGCATCCTTCCTGCAGCCTGCCATCTACAACTGCCAGGACTTGGAAGAGATCTATGTACAGCACAACTGCCTTACCATGATCCCAAACACCATTCGATCCCTCTCCAAACTCAGGATCTTTTGTGCCTCAGACAACTGCCTCATGGACATCCCGGAGGTGTTCTGTGAGCTCAAGAACCTGGAGGTTCTGAAGCTTGAAAGAAATCGAATCAAGTCACTGCCAAATAACTTTGAGATGTTGAGCGAGCTACGAGTGTTGAGGCTGGATACCAATCCTCTGGCTCACCCACCAAGTGAGGTATGTGAAGGAGGTGCCATGGACCAAATCACCAGCTTTATCAGGAAAGCAGATGAAAGAGAGGGTGAGTTTGGTGTTTGGTTACACAAGTAATAATTTACCTCAATATCTATCTATCTATCTATCAGGCTATAGTTCATCCAGACGTTGGACAAAGCCCTCCTCATAACATTTCCATTCTCTTCTGTCTCTAGCTGTCCTAGTCCAAGTGGCCGTTCCCATGTATGATGTTAGGTCATCTCTCCATCTTCTCTTCTGCCTTCATCTTCTTCTCTTTCCCATCCTTGGTTGCCGTTCTGTTAAACTATTTGTCCATCTATTGTCCTGAAGTCTTGCTACATGCCCAGCCCATCTCCACTTTGATTCTCTGACTTTCTCCATGATGTCTTTAACCTTTGTTTTCTGACGTATGACAAATATGATAAATGTTAAAGAAATATAGTTGATATTTAGGAATCACTTTTATCATCAGTGACTACTGACTTCTTTCATTCCCCTAGGGTAAATCTTTATATGCCACACAAGTGACATTGTATTTATTATAGAATAGATATATACCAAAAGCTTAAAGATCGTTTAATTATTTCCAGGATAAAAATAATCCATGCTGTTGGTATAAAGTTTTTCATGGAGCTAATCAAGACCGACAATATGTAATCTTGCAAATCCATCTTGTTGCACAGATCAATCCTTACGTCAATTGGTGCCTAATGTTCAGTGCAAAATTGGCATGTGACAAATGAGTTTCCGTGCAGAAAGACAAGAGAAATCAACTGAAGTGTTAGTACAAGAACGATCTAATTCCCATACCCAATGGGTTAATCCTAAAAAGGCCGGGCTATTTGAGGTCTTAGTACGGCTAGGGGGGGGGGCCATTATGGCCCCCCCTTAAGATCTTGGCCGCAAAGCAGCCGATCGCCGCGAAAATTTGCACGCATGTCAAGTGAAGTGTATGGAATAATATGATAATTTCAATTTTTTTGAAAAAATTCACTCATTTGCATATTTATGGTAATTTATGCAAATAAAGTCATACAAATCATATATTATTCATATTTATGCATTCTTTTTCACTACATATATTCATTAGACCATTCTGAATAAAAATACAACAAAAAAATTTGGAAGAGCCAGCTTATTCCTTATATATTATGTTATCCCTTGTTTTGTTATCCCTTGTTTTGATAATTTCATATGTATTTCATTGTTTTTTTAACTTATGTATTAATTGTTTTTGTTGTTTTATTTCATTTCTTACTACAATTCAACTATTTTGACTCCCAAAACAACCACCTAAACTTTAAACAAGACCCAATAACCCATGTTCGATCTGTTTTTAGGAAAAATGACTTTTCCATATGTTTTGTACACAAATCACGAAAATGAGCGATTTTCGGGCTGACATGCAAAGACAAAAGGTCACGTGACCTTGTAACCGTAGGTCCGATTAAAAAAAAAAAATCTTTTAAAAGTTGCGCAAGATTCGACAGAAAAAAGTCAGCGAGCGGCAGGGCGCCATCCATATGCATTCCCGAGCAATCAGAAAAATCGTGGAGGGGGGGGGGGGCCATAATGCCCCCCCCCCCCCCGGCCTTATTAGGGTTAAGTTACTTACATTAGTAGCTTTCCTTGTTAGCAATAGCATTTTGTTTTAAAGCTGAATATAACACATTTCCTCTTATGTAATCCTTGAAAGTGATTGAATATTGAATAATCAACTAATTCACAAGCTGCATTCAATTTCTAGGACACGTATTTTGATACACAAGACAGTCATTTGCATTGTGTTTATCTCTCTTCAGAGGCTTTGCTGTGCAAGATGTTCACATGTGTGGCAGCTAACCTGAGAGAGAGGGAGGCCCATGACCTGATGCGTGTCTTTCACTTCCCGAAGGATGTCATGACCTTGATGGAGAGGTCACATAGAGGATCCACTCCAGACGCCCTCACCATGTCTGTCGTCAAACGATGGCGGGAAGAGAAAGGTCATGCAGCATCCCCCGATGAACTGATACGCTACGTTGGGCTTATTGATATGCCAGTGGTGACCAGCAAACTGAGGACCATTCGTGTGGATTCACAGGTTCATCGCTTGTGAGTTCATCAGAGCTGTATGTAACTGTATGTATCTTGGACCATGCATTGACTAGCTTCTCCAGATGAACTAATACGCTACGTTGGGCCGATTGATATGCCAGAGGTGAGAATTAAATCTGTGTTCACCAAATCCTGCAAGGTGATGGATGAGTGTGAGGTAACATCTGATATTCTCATTGGAGCTAACAAGGATCCATGATAGGGAATTCTCTTTCTTACCTTTTCTTACATGAAATAAAGTTAAGCTGGTTGTAGGCAAACTTATTTTGTTTGTATGTGCTGTAGATAATATGGTCATGTTACTGTGCTGTTTCTGATGTGGTAAAGCACCGTAGGTGGTAACAGTTTTCTTGAATAGTGTACATACATGTAGGCAGCTATCAAATGTTGAGAATCGATCAGCACTGATTGGTTTCAAGTACTTGAAGAATATATTCATGTTATGTTTAACAATGCGTTTCAAGTATCATTCAAAATGTAAGGATTCTGAAAGGGAAGTATGAAAGAGAGTGCATTGGAAAAAGATGCATATCGCAACAAATTCATACTGTGGAATCTAAAACGAAAGACTGTGTTTGTAAAGTGACCAAAAAAGAAATAAAAAGATGTATATGTTTATGACATTAAATTGATGAAAGTTAAATGAACTTACTAACAAAATTAATGAATAAATTAATTATATAATGATAATAATTGATTGATTAATCAACCAATAAAAATGAATTAATAGATAAATATATTTATATATATAAAAATATATATAATTAAATAAATACCCAATGTGTCTAGATGAGGAAGAATTCAGTTTCCGTCTGAAATGAAAGCTATATTTCTTTGTGTGTAACTATTTCCTGTAAAAACAAGGAAGTTAGATTTTATCATATTCATAACCTAGAAACTGTGTTATATATTGATAGTCAAACAACCACCACCACCACCAAGTATCTGAACATCGAATGTCTTCAAGTTGTCTTCTCGCTGCTTCAAGAAATAAATAAAAACTCAGTTTTCTGTTAAAGTGCCTTCTTTTAATTCAACCAAAGTATTTTTCACACTTAAAGAGTTGATATTCTTTTAATTTGACAGCTGTTTCAAGAAATAAATTGAAACTCAATCATCTACTCAGGTGCCTTATTTATTTCAAGCAAAGCATATTCACATTGTTTGGTCAGTATTCAGTTTATCACACTATTAGATTGTGTATTACATGAGGTTACACACTGTATTAACATTGCTTTATATAAACATTTTTTTTTTTTTTTTTTTGTATACCGGTAGACTTTTATTAATATATTTGTGTTAGCTGCAGGTAGACTCTATTGATATTGAGCTTCCAATTTACCCCAGCGGGGAGAGTATAATTTATATATTATTTACAAATGGTATCTCACTTCACTAGGTTGAGAGAAATAAGAAGAGAATGTTGAACATTAGACAGTGGTACACCTTCTTCCCATGACAACTTTTTTTCTATTGTTAGTCTTGAATCAGTGTTTGACATGGGTATCATGATTCTCACAAAGCACTGTGCTACTTATGTAGTGTAAGCAACGATGATGATTACGATTTACTTTTCCTCAAATACCCACACACATCCATACGCACACAAAGAGTAGTTACCTTAATACCTCAGTCAAACCAACGAGACCAACACCTGACTGACTACACACCAAACCAACAAATATATAACCCCCTTACCCCCTCCTCCCCCAGTGACCAACACCTGACTGACTACACACCAAACCAACAAATATATAACCCCCTTACCCCCTCCTCCCCCCAGTGACCAACACCTGACTGACTACACACCAAACCAACAAATATATAACCCCCTTCCCCCCTCCTCCCCCAGTGACCAACACCTGACTGACTGCACACCAAACCAACAAATATATAACCCCCTTCCCCCCTCCTCCCCCCAGTGACCAACACCTGACTGACTACACACCAAACCAACAAATATATAACCCCCTTACCCCCTCCTCCCCTAGTGACCAACATCAGTTGGTTTGAAGTCGGTCCAGAGTCATTTTGATGGTGTGATTGAGGTACAAGAGATACATTCATTTTTCACTATTAATCTGAAAGTTGTAACAAGTTTGTTATACACTCATGTGGTTCTTTGGTATTTGATATCAATTCATCCGTAGTGTTTAAATACCTTGTTTATATGGAGTTTTAAAAAAAACAATATACTGTTATTGTAAGTTTTGTGCCCACGCATAGAACCTGAAACTCTGAAATATGCATGCTGCAGAGATATATGTACAGTCAATTGCTCTTTCATTATTTCAAGTATTTAAGTGTTTTATTTTACTCAAGTACATTACAAATGATTTTTTAATGCCTCTCTTATGTTTGTTTTATATCATAGTATGCACTTTTATACAAAGAAGATTTTATAACTATGTGACATTTATATGATAAATTGATTTTATATTGCGGCTAAGTTTCACTTTCAAAAACACTATAACGTCATGGGACTGTTGTTCAAAAGACATTTTATTAATTGATAATTTTCATCGTCATTGAACAATGAAATATCCTGAACAAGAGTTATATTGGGAAGCAGCAGCAATTTCTGTTTGGTTTGTTTGAAAGTATTAACAAGAAGTGGATGTTGTGTAGCTAAACTCTTTTGACAAAGGTACTTTAACCCAATGAGATTGTACAATATACAAAATGCTAAGTAAATTTCTGTTTGTGAGATGCTACATGTAATTGCATAAAATGTGCATGTACAGGTGAAAAATATCACTTGTGGATAGTTATGTAAATAGGTGTAAGTTTATACTTCTGTATTATAATATCGTTTTTATATGTGCAGTTGTTACCATAACACTTTCATATTGACTTTATATACACTTCTTCTGGTATAAGATTTTATCAAAGAGTACTGGTAAACCTCATTTCTGAAATCAAATGGCCATATATTTTGTAATGCTATTTGAATGTCATGATTCAACAAGTGCTATGGGGTCTGGATGGACAAAATGTATGCCTTGATTATCCGTCCTTCATGTTTAATTTCATTCCATTTTTTCTTAATATGGTGATAATATTCTGAATATCACTTCAGAAGACATCTAGGACGTGCAATTTATCAGGGGCAAAGTCGAATGTAATTGTCTTTTGGTGTTCCATACGTTAGCAAGTAGTATGGAGTTGAACATCTAATGTGCCATTTCACTTCATATTTGGTATGATTCAAGCTCTATCAGTGCTGGTGATTTAATGCAGTACTCACATATACTAACATCTACATGTGGTGGTAACTTAAAGGACAAGTCCACTCGAAAAATAACTCACTTTCAATAAAAGCAGAAAAATCAGACAAACAAATCAAAACAAGTTTGAGCAAAATCGGATAACTAATAAGAAAGTTATGAATTTTTGAAAAAGTATGTAAAACTATGGAACAATGAGAATCACAACACAAATTGCCAAGATCGTTATCAGTTTGTGACGTCATGTCCTCACAACTTATCAATTGCTTTATATAGTTTAATCCCATTAATTTCCCTTTTTATCTCCCAAAACTTGGATTTCCCCATGCCTTTGCCCAGGTTATATGATTTGTATCATTGCGTGCATGACATTTCCCAGAATTTTTTATGAATTTTGAAGAATTGATACTATTTTCTGAATATTGTATTTCATAATTATTGATTTTTATATAAATAGTTTATCAAAATTCAATTTTTCATGATTTATCTGGACAAAAATTACTCTTTATTTGTGTATCCACACAAAAACATATTACTAACAATCTAAATTGGCTGCTGGTGTGAAGAAATAAGATTCTTAGGGTGAAAATAGGAAATTTATATTATCAATATAAAGAAAATAATTAGTGGATAGTGAGGACCATACGTCACAGACTCATGAGTGAGTTGCCAATTTGTGTAGTGATTTTCAAAGCTTTTCATGTCATTACAAATTCAAAACTTTCTTATTAGTTATCCGATTTTGCTCAAACTTTTTTTGATTGGTTTGTCTGATTTTTCTGGTTCTATTGAAAGTAAGTTACTTTTGGAGTGGACTTGGGCTTTAAGAATGAATATATTGGACGTAATTGCCCGATGAATTTAATGTAAGAGATGATTTGTACTACAAAATTGAAGAATAGCAACGAATATAGACATTCTAAAGCTTTTTCTTTTCCCCCTTTTTTGTGCGTTTTGTTCCATTAACTTCCGCCAATATTATCTGATTTTCGCTTTCTTTTTATTCCAACAATTCACTCCGATGAATGCAAGACGAAAGACTTTAGTATGTTGTTGCTATTCCTCGACATTTAATTGATAGTTTAACTGTTTTCGGTGATTTCTTGAACCGAATAATCTTTGTAATTTTCTGCATGGGCCTTTCATTTCACCGAGTATCCATCTTATTATTCTTGTTGTATTCACAATATACTCTAGCATATCCAAGCTTTTTTCTTTCTTTTGTTGTTGTTGGTTTTGTTAGTATTGCTCCTCTTTGTGTTTTAATAAGGCGTTTGTATAAAAGAGTTAGAAATACGTCTCCGTCCATTGTCATAAGAAGTGCTATAATAAAAATCCTCTTGTGTTTCAAATTCATACGACTTGTGTGTTTAGATTAATGCTTTGTCGATTACTTCGGGTGTTATTTTATAGTGAAAGTGTTTTATGGAAAATGAGTGTATGAAGTGACAATCAACTGAATGAGGTATTTTACTGATACCATGGCTATTTGGTCCTGCATGAAGGATGTTTTCATCCTGGAATATTGGAAGCAAGTGATTCGTTCAATTAAGTCTGAAATGGGGGGGGGGGGGGGAGTGTAATGAGTATGATAATTTTTTTCATAAAAAGTGATAGATATCGTCAGTGCCCTCCCCTCCCCTCCCCCAACCCCTTATTCACTGATCAAATGAAAGTAATGATATGATTATTTCACGTCGCTGTATCTCTTGTCTACTCGACAATGCTCATCACCAGCATCCGTGATGGTTTGATAACCTTCATCATCGATGTAACGTTGGTCACACTTCGTACCACTCCTACTGGACTTGAAGTGACCTGCTGTCTGTGTCTCTCTTGCGCGTGTCTTCTCTGGTCGGTCAAGTAGATTATAAGATACGGGTTGGCATAAAGGATTCTGGACCATTTCATACCGCTCCGATGCCGACACACAGGTAGCAACATTGAGTCCTTGAGAGCTGGATGCTACGGGACGTCCGCGTCGGGGTACGACTGCAGATGCAGGGTTTGGTCTAGGATCAAAGTGTTTGCGGGGTAGGTGGAAAAGACTGTAGGACCTGGATCTACCTGATATATTCCCGACCAAGGAGTAATCTGGTTCACCAAAGACATCATCTATCGGAGATTTTTCCAGTCTGTCAAGTTTGTCAAGTGCATCAAGGCTATCTAAAAGACACCATTCTTTCTTTGATCGCTCATCAGTGTATCGGAGAGGATCGCATGACTTGGACCGGACTGATTGAATGGATCGTTCAGGTTGGTTACCTGAAGGGCCGTGGCTTTTCAGTGCACGTGACTTATCCGTTACAGGGACTGAACGCTGTGGCTGACCAACCTTTCTCGGATCCTTGCCAGTGCTACGATGTCCGCGCGGTGGCAATGCCGGTAACGGATTTTTCCTTTCCATCACACATGATGTTGTCCGGTACAAAGGATTCGGGATCATAGAAAATGGATCTGATATCTTTCCGGAGATCTCGTTCGATCTTGTCCCGTCGTCTTCTAGGCTCTTACCGTCTATGGTGAGCATGTCGGTGTTGTCTCCATTCGCCTGTCCATGCACGCAGGTTTCGATCACGTTGTATGTATGTACGCCACTCTTGAGGGACTTGTCTTCTGCAGAAGGTTGGTCTAATTGGTCGCATTCTGACACTGTCCGATGGGATCTGTAGTGACTAGGTGTCCTAGATAGAGAACGGCTGTCCATGCCGTGAAGGTGAACGTTGATGGGTGGTGGTGACCAGGTCATATTGGGTCCTCGGCTCCTATATAGCATAGGGGAGGGTGGGATAACTGAATTATTGTACCTGTTACCATCAAACTTACACGCCGTAATATCAATTGAAATTGCAATGCTACCAATATCTCTTTCGATTTAAATTTGAGAGACCGATATCAATCGTATGACGATAGTGTGTGAATTTGAATACATATACCTTTAATATCAATAAATAAGACTATGTTGAAAAAATACAGTGTACAATGATATAGGTTTTCGATAAACTCATATAATCAATTAAAGGTGTATGTATTCAAATTCACGCGTTATCGTCCTACGATTGATATCGGTCTTTCAAATTTTAAATCAATGCAATGGAATTCATTTGGAGACATGCGAATCAATTTAAAAGCATCCGAATTAATACTTCTGCAAAATGATTACAATTTAGGACAATATTCGTTATCCACATTCGATTTATTTTTAGTGCGGCAAATTCGTTACAGTGCATACGAAGTCGCGACCTTCCATGCTTTCGTGTGATTTCAAATTCTGTGCATTGAATTGCAATGTTCGTGCATTCAAAAATGAACACTGTAGACCTAAGGGCGTAGCCAGGATTTTTTTAAAGGGAGGTGTTTTTTGGCCTAATTCTTGATAAATATTTAGTGGCGAGCCAGCCACCGGTGAATAAGCGGGGGGGGGGGGTGAATACTCCTTGTCCCCCCCCCCCAACGTCCAAAAAATAAAAAAAATAAAAAATAAAATAAAACACAACCCCTTTTGCCAGGGGTGGGGGAGGTGT